TAGATATTATTTAGATTTTTTTCGATTCACATAAATTTAGAATTTCAGTACTTTACAAGAGAGATCATATTGAGTTGGTGTATATAATACAAAACAGAGGAAATAAGGGCATTGTATATGTATTCTGACAGATTATATTCAGAGCAATTTTGCTATTAACATTCGGGTGCCTAGAATATATTTAGATTTTTTTCGATTCACGTAAAATTAGAATGTCTGTATTTTACATGAGAGAGCATACTGAGTTAGTGTATATACTCCAAAACAAAGTAGAATAAGGCATTGTATATTTTTTCTAACAAAATATATTAAGAGCCATTTTCTTTTAACTTTGGGGCGCCTAGATATTATTTAGATTTTTTTCGATTCGTGTAAAATTATAATTTCGGTATTTTACATGGGAGAGCATATTGAGTTGGTGTATATACTCCAAAACAGATTAGAAAAGTGCATTGTATATTTTTTTAACCGATTATATTCAGAGCAATTTTGCTTTAAAAATTGGGGTGCATAGATAAAATATAGATTTTTTCGATTCGGGTGAAATTAGAATTTCTGTATTTTACATTAGAGAGCACACTGAGTTTGTGTATATACGCGAAAACAGAGTAGAATAAGGCATTGTATATTTTTTCTAACAGACTATATACAGAGCCATTTTATTTTAACTTTGTGGCGCCTGGATAATATTTAGATTGTTTTCGATTGGCGTAAAATTAGAATATCTGTATTTTACATGAGAGAGCATATTGAGTTGGTTTATATACTCCAAAACAGAGTAGAAAAGGGCATTGTATATTTTTCTCTGACAGATTATATTCAGAGCAATTTTGTTTTTATCATTCAGGTGCCTAGATAATATTTAGATTTTTTTCGATTCGCTTAAATATAGAATTTCTGTATTTTACATGAGAGAGCATATGCAGTTGGTCTATATACACCAAAACATAGTAGAATAGGGGATTGTTTAATTTTTCTGGCAGATTATGTTCAGAGCAATTTTTTCTCACATTGGGGTGCCTAGATAATATTTAGATTTTTTTCGATTCGCTTTTATATAGCATTTCTGTATTTTACAATAGAGAGCATATTGAGTTGGTGTATATATTTTAAAACAGAGTAGAAAAGGGCATTGTATATTTTTTCTGAAAGATTATATTCAGAGCAATTTTGCTTTTAACATTGGGGAGCCTAGATAATATTTAGATTTTTTTCGATTCGTTTACATATAGAATTTCTGTGTTTTACATGAGAGAGCATATGGAGTTGGTGTATATAATCCAAAACAGAGTAGAATAACGCATTGTATATTTTTTCTAACAGACTATATTCAGAACCATTTTCTTTTAACTTTGGGGCGTCTAGATATAATTTAGATTATTTTTGATTCGGGTAAAAGTAGAATTTCAGTATTATACATGAGAGAGCATATTAAGTTTGTGTATATAAAACAAAACAGAGTAGAAAAAACATTGTATATTATTTCTGACAGATTATATTCAGCGGAATTTTGTTTTTAACATTGGAGTGCCTAGATAATATTTAGATTTTTTTCAATTCATGTAAATTTAGAATTTCGGTATTTCACATGAGAGAGCATACTGAGTTGGTGTATATACCCCAAAACAGAGTAGAATAAGGCATTGTATATTTTTTCTGACAGATTATATTCAGAGTAATTTTGTTACTAACATTGGGGTGCCTAGATAATATTTAGATTTTTTCGATTCGGGTAAAATTTGTATTTCTGTATTTTACATGAGAGAGCATACTAAGTTGGTGTATATACTACAAAACAGAGTAGAAAAGGGCATTGTATATATTTTCTGACAGATTATATTCAGAGCAATTTTGCTTTTAACATTGGGTTGCCTAGATAATATTTAGAATTTTTTCGATTCACGTAAAATTAGAATTTGGTATTTTAAAAGAGAGATCATACTGAGTTGGTTTATATACTCCAAAACAGAGAAGAATAGGGCATTGTATATTTTTTCAGACAAATTTTATTCAGAGCAATTTTGTTTTTAGCACTGCGGTGCCTAGAAAATATTTAGATTTTTTCAATTAGGGTAAAATTAGAATTTCTGTATTTTATATGAGAGAGCATACTGAGTTTGTGTATATAGTACAAAACAGAGTAGAAAAAGGCATTGTATATTTTTTCTGACAAACTATATTCAGAGCAATCTTGGTGTTAACATTTGGGTGCCTAGATAATATTTAGATTTGTTTCGATTCGCTTAAATATAGAAATTCTGTATTTTACATCAGAGAGCATAGGGAGTTGATGTATATACTTCAAAACAGAATAGAAAAGGGCATTGTATATTTTTTATGACAGATTATATTCAGAGAAATTTTGTTTTTAACATTGGAATGCCTGGATAATATTGAGATTTTTTCGATTCGGGTAAAATTAGAATTTCTCCATTTTACATGAGAGAGCATACTGAGTTGGTGTATATACTCCAAAACAAAGTAGAATAAGGCATTGTATATTTTTTCTAACAGACTGTATTCAGAGCCACTTTCTGTTAACGTTGGGGCGCCTAGATATTATTTAGATTTTTTTTGATTCGTGTAAAATTAGAATTTCGGTATTTTATATGAGAGAGCATATTGAGTTGGTGTATTTACTTCAAAACAGAGTAGAAAAGGGAATTGTATATTTTTTGTGACAGATTATATTCAGAGAAATTTTGCTTTTAACATTGGGGTGCCTAGATAATATTTAGATTTTATTCGATTCGCTTATATATACAATTTCTGAATTTTACTTGAGAGAGCATATGGAGTTGGTGTATATACTCCAGAATAAAGTAGAATTGAGCATTGTATATTTTTTCTGACAGATTATATTCAGAGCAATTTTGTTTTTAACATTGAGGTGCCTAGATAATATTTAGATATTTTTCGATTCGCTGAAATATAGAAATTTTGTAATTTACATGGAGGAGCATATGGAGTTGGTGTATATACTCCAAAACAGAGTAGAGTAGGGAATTGTATATTTTTTCTGACAGTTTATATTCAGAGCAATTTTGTTTTTAACATTGGGGTATCTAGATAATATTTAGATTTTTTCGATTCGGGTAAATTTAGAATTTCTGTATTTTACATGAGAGAGCATATTGAGTTGCTGTATATACTACAGAACAGAGTACAAAAGGGCATTGTATATTTTTTTTGAGAGTTTATATTCAGAGTAATTTTGCTTTTACCTTTGGGGTGCTTAGATGATATTTAGATTTTTTTGTTTCGCTTAAATATAGAATTTCTGTATTTTACATGAGAGAGCATATGGAGTTGGTGTATATACTCCAAAACAAAGTAGAATAGGGCATTGTATATTTTTTCTGACAGAGTATATTAAGAGCAATTTTTCTTTTAACATTGGGGTTACTAGATAATATTTTGATTTTTTTTCGATTCGTGTAAAATTAGAATTTCGGTATTTTACATGAGAGAGTATATTGAGTTGGTGTATATACTCCAAAACAGAGTGGAAAATGGCATTGTATATTTTTTCTAACAGACTATATTCAGAGCCATTTTCTTTTAACTTTGAAGTGCCTAGATATTATTTAGATTTTTTTCGATTTGTGTAAATTTAGAATTTCGGTATTTTACATGAGATACCATATAGAGTTGGTGTATATACTCCAAAGCAGAGTAGAATAGGGCATTGTATATTTTATCTGACAGATTATATTCAGAGCAATTTTGTTTATAATATTGGGGTGCCTAGATAATATTTAGATTTTTTCGATTCTGGTAAAATTAGACTTTCGGTATTTTACATGAGAGAGCATACTGTGTTGGTGTATATACTCCAAAACAGAGTAGAATAAGGCATATTATTTTTTCAAACGGACTATATTCAGATCCATTTTCTTATACCTTTGGGGCGCCTAGATATTATTTAGATTATTTTCGATTTGTGTAAAATTATATTATCGGTATTTTACATGAGAGAGCATATTGAGTTGGTTTATATACTACAAAACAGAGTAGAAAAGGGCATTGTATATTCTTTCTGACAGATTATATTCGCCGCAATTTTGCTTTTAACATTCGAGTGCCTAGATAATATTTAGATATTTTTCGATTCGCTTAAATATAGAATTTCTGTATTTTACATGAGAGAGCATATGCAGTTGGTGTATATACTCCAAAACAGACTAGAATAGGACGTTGTATATTTTTTCTGGCAGATTATGTTCAGAGCAATTTTTTTTTTAACATTGGGGTGCCTAGATAATATTTAGATTTTTTCGATTCGGGTAACATTACAATTTCGGTATTTTACATGATAGAGCATACTGAGTTGGTGTATATACTCCAAAACAGAGTAGAATAAGGAATTGTATATTTTCTCCAACAGACTAAATTCAGAGCCATTTTCTTTTAACTTTGGGGCACCTAGATATAATTTTAATTTTTTTTGATTCGCGTACAATTAGAATTTCAGTATTTTACATGAGAGAGCATATTGAGTTGGTTTATATACCCCAAAACAGAGTAGAAAAAGGCATTGTATATTTTTTCTGACAGATTATATTCAGACCAATTTTGTTTTTAACATTGGGGTGCCTATAAGATATTTAGATTTTTTTCGGTTCGCTTAAATATAGAATTTCTGTATTTTAAGTGATAGAGCATATAAAGTTGGTGTATATACTCCAAAACAGAGTAGAATAGGGCATTGTATATTTGTTCTGACAGACTATATTCAGAGTAATCTTGTTTTAAATTGGGGTGCCTAGATAATATTTAGATTTTTTTCGATTCGCTTAAGTATGGAATTTCTGTATTTTATATGAGAGAGTATATGGAGTTGGTGTATATACTCAAAAACAGAGTAGAATAGGGCATTGTATATTTTTTATGACAGATTATATTCAGAGCAATTTTGCTTTTAACATTTGGTTGCCTAGATACTATTTAGATTTTTTTCGATTCGCTTAAATATGGAATTTCTGTTTTTCTTTTTTTTTTTGTGATAACCGATCAATTTTAATTCTAGCACCTGAAGCTATACAAGGGTATGCTCTATAAATTTCATGGGACTGTTGTACACACTTGATAAAGTGACAACTGTGCAATACCACTTAGCATCTCAAAATCAGGAACATACTATTGAATTGCTTAAACACAATCCACAGAATTAAAAACAAAATCAGATGCCATCCACAGTTATACTAATTCTCCATTAAAAGCTTACACTTAATACTTGATATAACAATCAGTATCTAGCAGGGAACATTAGAAGTGATTTCAGAGTCTCATCCTGTTGTACTCTGTTGGGAAGGTTTCTTGAGTAGATATGTGACTGGCCAAAGATGGGTATAACCAAGACCAGACCAGCAAGTAAAAGCTCTACCACAGTTTCTCCAGTTTCCACTTGTTTTTCTTTGTCAGTTAAAAGTGAACAGTGAGAATTAAATACTTATCTTTACATATACACAAGGTATGCTGTGAAAGCATATCTGCTTACAAACATAAAAATACTTGTTAACTAGTTTGATAAGAAAATAATGTATAAAAAGTATATAGCAAAAACATTAATCATCTCTGACCCCGGAAAGATCAATTCCATATTTTATATTACAGCAAACAAAAACAGTTTTAATTTTTCAAATCCCTTATCCAGAAATACTTGAAAAGGAAGACAAACTATTTTTACCCTTAGCGTGGCTGTGAAAAAGAGTTAAATTAAAAAATCAAGTACACTGAAATGTTTAAGTCCTGAATGAGTCCAAATATTTGACCACGTAGAATATTATCATCTTCAAGAGTAGGAGTAATAACACAGGCTTTTATGAGCAGTTTTTAATCCATAAATACGATAGGCATTTTGGTATTTTGGCCACCAGAAAACAAAAGCTGTAGTATCAGTAAAGGTCTGAGATGTTTCACTTTTGTAGATTCAATTCAGTGTATTTAAGGTTAACAAAGGCTGACATTGAAATTTTTAAAGATAGGCAAAAATTCACATTAAAAAAAATCCCTATATTTCTATTTAGAGTAACAGTAGGCAGTATGATTCCAAAAGTTAAAAATTATTTCACAACCTGTGGCTTCAGCTTGGCAAACAGCTTAGATTCCAAAACTGATTCATCTCTATTAAAATGTAAGCACTTAAAAAAAGAGTATGTCTGTGTATATAGACACATATTTTAAAGGAATCAGATATCTTTGAAGCAGCCTTAGTGTTTCCTTTAAATTTGTCTGGAAATGACCATTGTATTAGCTTCACGGAAAGGACTGACTAGCCAGCTTCTTGGTCTAAGGCTAACATGGTGATCATTTGTCTAAGGCTAGAAAGGTACCAAATAAGATGTAAACTGAGGAGAGGAAGAGGAGATAAGGGCTTTTCCTGGCAGTTGGTAGCTAAAACTGAAAGGATTCTAGAAAATGACACAATGGCAGCCTTTCTTGTCTTTTTCTTTCCGTGTCGGTTCTGGTGAAGGAGGACATTCCTGCTCTTGAAATTTCCTGATAACCCGGACAAGTTCATGGAAAGCTTGATCTACATTCATCCTAATCTTTGCTGATGCCTCCATGTATGTGACCTTAAGTTGCCGTGCTAACTGTTGTCCTTCTTCCTGTGTTACCTGTCTTTGATGATCCAGATCTGCTTTATTGCCAATTAAAATCATTGGAAACTCATCACGATCCTTTACTCTGAGAATTTGTCTTTGAAACTTATAGAGTTCTTCAAAACTGCCTCTATCTGTGACTGAAAAGACCAACAGGAAGCCCTCGCCAGTCCTCATATATTGTTCTCTCATGGCTCCAAACTCTTCTTGTCCTGCTGTATCCAAAATATCTAGCCGTGCTGCTCTGTCATCTATCACACACTGCTTTGTGTAAGAATCTTCAATGGTTGGATCATAATCTGTTACAAAATAGGACTGGATGATTTTATATCCTGAGACTTTGCTGAAGTTGCTTATCAGTTTCAGGAGTTTTTGGGCTGAGGCGATGGGGTCTTCTAGGTATACTATCATGTCATCTGCAAATAGAGACAATTTGGCTTCCACCTTTCCTATTTGAATACCCTTTATTTCTTTTTCTTGCCTGATTGCTCTGGCTAGAACTTCCAGTACTATATTGAATAGGAGTGGTGAGAGAGGGCATCCTTGTCTAGTGCCAGATTTCAAAGGGAATGCTTCCAGTTTTTGCCCATTCAGTATGATATTGGCTGTTGGTTTGTCATAAATAGCTTTTACTACTTTGAGATACATTCCATCGATACCGAGTTTATTGAGGGTTTTTAGCATAAAGGGCTGTTGAATTTTGTCAAATGCCTTCTCTGCGTCGATTGAGATAATCATGTGGTTTTTGTTTTTGGTTCTGTTTATGTGGTGAATTACGTTGATAGACTTGCGTATGTTGAACCAGCCTTGCATCCCCGGGATGAATCCTACTTGATCATGATGAATAAGTTTTTTGATTTGCTGTTGCAATCGGCTTGCCAATATTTATTGAAGATTTTTGAATCTATGTTCATCATGGATATTGGCCTGAAGTGTTCTTTTCTCATTGGGTCTCTACCGGGTTTTGGTATGAGGATGATGTTGGTCTCATAAAATGATTTGGGAAGGATTCCCTCTTTTTGGATTGTTTGAAATAGTGCTAGAAGGAATGGTACCAGCTCCTCCTTGTGTGTCTGGTAGAATTCGGCTGTGAACCCGTCTGGACCTGGGCTTTTTTGTGTGGTAGGCTGTTAATTGCTGCCTCAACTTCAGACCTTGTTATTGGTCTATTCATAGTTTCAGCTTCCTCCTGGTTTAGGCTTGGGAGGACACAGGAGTCCAGGAATTTATCCATTTCTTCCAGGTTTACTAGTTTATGCGCATAGAGTTGTTTGTAATATTCTCTGATGATGGTTTGAATTTCTGTGGAATCTGTGGTGATTTTCCCTTTATCATTTTTATTGCATCTATTTGGTTGTTCTCTCTTTCCTTTTTAATCAATCTGGCTAGTGGTCTGTCTATTTTGTTGATCTTTTCAAAAAACCAGCTCTTGGATTTATTGATTTTTTGAAGGGTTTTCGTGTCTCAATCTCCTTCAGCTCAGCTCTGATCTTAGTAATTTCTTGTCTTCTGCTGGGTTTTGAGTTTTTTTGATCTTGCTCCTCTAGCTCTTTCAATTTTGACGATAGGGTGTCAATTTTGGATCTCTCCATTCTCCTCATATGGGCACTTATTGCTATATACTTTCCTCTAGAGACTGCTTTAAATGTGTCCCAGAGGTTCTGGCACGTTGTGTCTTCGTTCTCATTGGTTTCGAAGAACTTCTTTATTTCTGCCTTCATTTCGTTGTTTACCCAGTCAACATTCAAGAGCCAGTTGTTCAGTTTCCATGAAGCTGTGCGGTTCTGGGTCGGTTTCTGAATTCTGAGTTTTAACTTGATTGCACTATGGTCTGAGAGGCTGTTTGTTATGATTTCAGTTGTTTTGCATTCGTTGAGCAGTGCTTTACTTCCAATTATGTGGTCAATTTTAGAGTAGGTGTGATGTGGTGCTGAGAAGAATGTATATTCTGTGTATTTGGGGTGGAGAGTTCTGTAAATATCTATCAGGTTTGCTTGCTCCAGGTCTGAGTTCAAGCCCTGGATATCCTTGTTGATTTTCTGTCTGGTTGATCTGTCTAGTATTGACAGTGGAGTGTTAAAGTCTCCCACTATTCCTGTGTGGGAGTCTAAGTCCTTTTGTAAGTCATTAAGAACTTGCCTTATGTATCTGGGTGCTCCTGCATTGGGTCCATATGTGTTAGGATCGTTAGCTCTTCTTGTTGTATTGATCCTTTTACCATTATGTAATGGCCTTCTTTGTCTCTTTTGATCTTTGTTGCTTTAAAGTCTATTTTATCAGAGATGAGAATTGCAACTCCTCCTTTTTTTTTTGCTTTCCATTAGCTTGGTAAATCTTCCTCCATCCCTTTATTTTGAGCCTTTGTGTATCCTTGCCTTTGAGATGGGTTTCCTGGATACAGCACACTGATGGGTTTTGGATTTTTATCCAATTTGCCAGTCTGTGTCTTTTGATTGGTGCATTTAGTCCATTTACATTTAGGGTTAATATTGTTATGTGTGAATTTGATACTGCCATTTGATGCTAAGTGGCTGTTTTGCCTGTTAGTTGTTATAGATTCTTCATTATGTTGAAGCTCTTTAGCATTCAGTGTGATTTTGGAATGGCTGGTACTGGTTGATCCTTTCTATGTGTAGTGCCTCTTTTAGGAGCTTTTGTAAAGCAGGCCTGGTGGTGACAAAATCTCTGAGTACTTGCTTGTTCGCAAAGGATTTTATTTTTCCTTCACTTCTGAAGCTCAGTTTGGCTGGATATGAAATTCTGGGTTGAAAGTTCTTTTCTATAAGAATGTTGAATATTGGCCCCCACTCTCTTCTGGCTTGTAGTGTTTCTGCCGAGAGATCTGCTGTGAGTCTGATGGGCTTCCCTTTGTGGGTGACCCGACTTTTCTCTCTGGCTGCCCTTATTATTCTCTCCTTTATTTCAACCCTGTTGAATCTGACGATTATGTGTCTTGGGGTTGCTCTTTTTGCGGAATATCTTTGTGGTGTTCTCTGTATTTCCTGCAATTGAGTGTTGGCTTGTCTTGCTAGGTGGGGGAAATTTTCCTGGATGATGTCCTGAAGAGTATTTTCCAGCTTGGATTCATTCTCTTCGTCCCCTTCTGGTACACCTATCAAACGTAGGTTAGGTCTTTTCACATAGTCCCACATTTCTTGGAGACTTTGTTCATTCCTTTTTGTGCTTTTTTCTCTGATCTTTGTTTCTCGTTTTATTCATTGAGTTGGTCTTCGACTTCAGATATTCTTTCTTCTGCTTGGTCAGTTCGGCTATTGAAACTTGTGTTTGCTTCGTGAAGTTCTCATATTGTGTTTTCAGCTCCTTTAATTTATTCGTATTCCTCTCTAAGTTATCCATTCTTGTTATCATTTCCTCGAATCTTTTTTCAAGGTTCTTAGTTTTTTTGCATTGATTTAATACATGATCTTTTAGCTCACAAAAGTTTCTCATTATCCATCTTCTTAAGTCTAATTCTGTCATTTCGTCACAGTCATTCTCCGTCCAGCTTTGTTCCCTTGCTGGTGAGGAGCTTTGGTCCTTTCTAGGAGGCGAGGTGTTCTGGTTTCGGGTGTTTTCCTCCTTTTTGTGCTGGTTTCTTCCCATCTTTGTGGATTTGTCCGCTGGTCGTCTGCGTAGTTGCTGATTTTTCGGTTGCGTCTCTGAGTGGACACCCAGAATGTTGATGATGAAGTATTTCTGTTGCTTGGTTTTCCTTCTACCAGTCTAGCCCCTTTGCTGTACGACTGCTTAGGTCTGCTCCAGACCTTGCTTGTCTGGGGTGTACCTCTAGCACCTGTGGCACAGCGAGGGATGCTACCAGTTTCTTTTTCTGCTATCTTTGTCCCAGGATGATGCCTGCCTAATATCAGTCTTTTGGATATAGAGGGGTCAGGGAGCTGCTAGAGGAGACAGTTTGTACTTTATAGGGGTTTAATTGCTGAGCTGTGCACTCTGTTGTTCCTTCAGTGCTGTTAGGCTGCTATGTTTGATTCTGCTGCAACAGAGCTCATTAAAAAACCCTTTTTTTTTCTTTTCTCAAATGCTCTGTGTTGAGGGGTTTGGGCTTTATTTTGGATGTTCGATGAGGTGTCCTGTCCAGCTAGAAGGCAGACTAGCCACTGTTTGGTTGCCTTGATCCGCCCTGCTGTTGTGTGATTCGCCCTGTTCCTGCAGGCTCTGCTGTGGTATCAGCCACGCCCTGCGTCAGTGTCTCTTCTTCGTAGCGTGTTGCCTCAGCAACGGCTGGCTGCGTCAGCAGTGGGCGTATATCTCAGTTGGGGGCGGGTTGCCTCAACAACGGCTGGCTGCGTCAGCAGTGGGCGTGTATCTCAGTTGGGGCGGGTTGCCTCCATAGTGGTGGACGCCCCTCCCCCACAGAGCGTCTTGGACCATCTGCCCGGGATAGTTTGAAATCGCGGTTTTGTTCGTCCCACTGGGTATCCCAAACCATCTGTCCCTGCAATCCCCTGGGCTGGGCTACTGTGCAAGTCTCGTTCAGTCTCAAGTCCAGCCCTATCAAGTCTCAGGTTGCCAGTTCAACAAGGCACCCGGACAAGCGCGCACTGTAGGGATTGCTGGGTAGGGCCAGCCGCCGCCGCCCTGGCTGCCGGCTTCGCCAGGCAGACCTACTGCCTGGCGTCCTGTGTCTTTTTATACTTGGGAGTTTCCCCGTTCTGTGGGCAACAAAGATCAGTCTGGAAATGCAGCACTGACTCACCGTTTGCGGATTCAACGCGGGCTCCAATCCTGGGTTCTTCTCACAGCGCCATCTTGAGTCCCCTCCCCGCCATTTTCTTTTAACTTTGAGGCGCCTAGATATTATTTAGAATTTTCGATTCACGTAAAAATAGAATTACGCTATTTTACATGAGAGAGCATATTGAGTTGGTGTATATACTCAAAAACAGAGTAGAAAAGGGCATTGTATATTTTTTATGACAGATTATATTCAGAGGAATTTTGCTTTTAACATTGTGGTGCCTGGAAAATATTTAGATTTTTTTCGATTCACGTAAAATTAGTATTTCG